TATATATATATATATGTCATTTTCGATCCTTTCTCGCTTGCATCCCCTCCCCCTTCTTTTAGTTCTTTTTCTGAATTAATTGCCGCCTCTCTTTCTCTTCATAGTTGGGGAGAATGAATAAAGGTGGAATGATTTTCCTCAATTTAAGGGTTTTTTCTCTCAAAAATGTGTTATTATTTTTTAGGTTTAGGGAGTTTTTAATTAAATTTTCTTGATATATCTCACTAAATTTTATCCTTAGTAGAGACTGAAGATAATGTGGATTTGAGGCTGATGATTTTGGTTTGATTGTAGCACTTTCTTAAGTTATGGACAACATGATTGATCATTTAGGTCCTTAGCTATCTTCTACCCAAAAATCACAAGTGTGTCCTAGAAAAGATTGGTAAGATAGGTGAGATTGCCAGAGGCAATAAGAAGGTTAAAATGGTAACCTTTATATGTGTTACATAATCCTATTGATATCTTATGATGACAGTTAATATTTTGAAACTTTTTATATTTAATTGTTTATATATATTGTAAGTATTAATTCTTTGTATTACTATTATAGGATATTTTTAGTTTTTTTATTATAAAATTTATTTTAATTTCTATGGTTTTTTTGTTATGTGTCATATGACATGACGAGAAATGATTAACCCATAATTATCACTTCTTATATTGAAAAATGTGAAAATTGACTTGCATTTTACGTTAATTTGATAAATTTTAACTGTGGTTTAAAATAATTTAATGAAAAACAGACTGTGATGTTAATGATTTCAATTAAAATTAACTTTTATATTTTTTAATACAAAAATAAAAGTCATTAAAAAAAATTAAAAATCATTAGTTAATTATTAATCTAAGGGCACAATGAAATAACAATAATTTTTAAATATCCAAAGGCATTTTTTTCTGGTGATTTAATTCTTACTTTAGTAGGTTCTAATTGGTTAGACACTAACGCTATTAAGAAAATTTTTATTGAAAAATACTATATGAAAAATTAGAACGTATTTTAAGGAAAGTTGGTAAGTTTTATTAGATTGTTAATTTTTTTATATTTAAAAAAAATTGACTTAAAAAAGTTAATAAAAAATTATTAAGTGAATTTTACAAAAGAAAAATTGTAAAAAGGTTTTTTTCCTTTGAAAAAAATGAGAAGAAAAGTTAAAAAATTGATAATTGTGTTAAGAAAAGTTTCGATAAAAAATGTTATTTTTAACCTTTATTTTTTATAATTTTGAGGTATATATATATATATCAAAATATTTCATAATTTTAAACAACTAATTTTCTAATGTAAAAAAGAAAAAAAAAAATCAAAACACCCTCATAAAATTCTATGGAAAACCGAACACTCCCTAGGTGTAACAAAGAAATCTTCATTCCAATCTATTTAGCGTTAATTTCAATAATTTGTTTATTGTGTAGCATGTAGCTGTGGGAAAATGTATTGTGAAAGTAACACAAATGGACTCCTAAACGAATGAAGATGGATCACACCTCCAAACATGGGATCATTCTAAAGGTGTGATTCTTTCTTTGAATACGAAAGGTTTAGATTTTGATTCCATGAATAGCACTCTTATTATAATTTTCCTTCTCCCTTATCTTAAATCCACTCGATTGGTGGTTTGACTTATTTTTATACTATTTTATTATTATTAAAAATGTAAATAAACCCCATAAGTGGGCTCCTCTCTTGATTGTAGGATGTTTGTCTTACATCGTTCCTATGTGCACAAATTACGTGATATATAGGAAATTTTACGTAATTCCAAACTAATCAGTTTTAGACTTTTAGTGTGTTTTATCTTTATACTATTTTACTATTTTTTAACGTGAATCATAATAGGGTTGCATCAAGTTAGCCTAAAATGAGCTAACTAAAATTAATTAGTTTTTTTTAATTTAAAATTTTAATTAATTATACTTTTAATTTTAATTTTTAGATATAAAATAAAATTAAATATTATAGAATAATAATAATTATTATATTATTAGAATTAATATTAATTTAATAAATTAGTTTTATTAAATAATGAATTAACATTAAATTTTTTATTAAAAATAA